GGAATCCAAGATAGCTCTCACTAAGCGCTATCAGCACTTGCAGCGAATCGGACAACACTTCTGGAGTCGATGGCGAAAGGAGTATCTGACTCAACTTCAGTCAAGAAACAAATGGCAAATCGACATCGACGAAAAATTTCGTGTTGGCTCCATGGTGCTACTGAAGGAGGATAATGTTCCTCCAATGTGTTGGCCATTAGGACGTGTCACAGCAGTGCATCCCGGCAAGGACAATGTAAATCGAGTAGTGAGCATCAAAACCAAAGGGATCTGTGGTGAAACGTGCGGTTAATCGAGTGGCATTATTACCGATAGACACAGATAAATGATCAGAGTTTCACTGAATATGTATTTTTTACTTGATGTAGTTAAATCATCATGCGATTTATATTATAATATTGTTATATGTTGACAGTCAAAGCCTAGCCTTTTAAGGGGGGCGATTATGTTAAAAACTAGAATAAGTTTTCTCAGATTTGCTTCTTAGAATCAGATACGGCAACTGCGCCGAATATGACTTGGTCTAATCGCCACTCACTCGGGCGAGTGTGACTTGGCTCGATCGGCAACTCACTCGGCTAAGTGCAAAAAAGGCATTCAGCGACTGTCTGTCAACGCTAGTATATGTTGCTCTCGAANATAATAATATTTTTCGTTCGTTATTGTTTTGAACATATTTGAAAAAATATTTTTAACCTTTCAGTTCGATGCTCTTTAAAAGCGTGTTTTTTATTTTTATAAACTATATTTACTTCTTAGTGAATGATTATGATTATTATTATTCAGTAGGATACATCCGCAACGCTTTTGCTTGTAAATTTCCAAGAATTTCAAATAATTGAGCAAAATTTCCGTATAGTTCAAATTGGGGAACTTGTGGTTGCATTGCAAGGAATGGTTTGAAAACGTCGAATCACTTTTACCTAGTCTGAACGACCTTTCATGTTCAGTATACCGCTTTTAGAAATTTCGACTACATTCACCCTCCGAACACTCAAGCTCATAAACTCCAGATTTCTCCATTTTATCCACTTTATCCTTGGCATTGAGAAGGAAATTAGATAACCTGGCATGTGGCCTGAATGCCAGATTTTCTAAATTGCAAAATGCCAACATTTTTACAACTATTTCAGAAAGACTAGTGTGGAAGAAAGCATCATTATGTCAATAAGAATGTGTCATGAACTCTTTTCTGAAGATAGTATGCGCTATCTCTATAGTAGAAAATTTCACCGAAGTTAATTTTTTAAAACATACTTAAAACTCAACCAGTTTTTTAAAATATGACAAATAACAACTTGATCTCGTAGCTAACCGATTACATTTTTTTCGCTCTCATAAATATCTCATACAGAGCAGATTTATTGAGACAACAGATATGCATTACCGAAGGCTTGCCAAGGGAAGCGAGCTAATCGAACGCTTGGATTTATATTAAACGAACACACTTTTTATCGTAATAATGAATCCTCAAATTGAGGATAGCTCTGCCTAAGGGACCGTCCATTAATCACGTGATGTTTTTTTAGCATTTATTAAGCCCCTTCTACCCCTCGGTGATACGTGGTGAGGTTTGAGATCAACACCCCCTCCCACATCCAAAATCACGTTTACTTTTTAGTACCTACAAAAAATTTAAAAATTATTAGAATATCATCACTGAATACATTGAATACTCAAATGCATATATTTTAATACACAAGTAATTCCATTCTGAAATTATGGATCATGACAGAAATGTCTAGACAGAAAGTTTGCAAGTTGTTTTTGACTGACCTAAAAGTAATATTGAAGTAACGGTGTAACCATGCGAAAAACATACAGTGTAGTACCTTTAACTGGAATAAATTCAGTAGAATTGTAGCAGAATGTTTCTTTCAAAATTCCTGAGACAGGTCGATTTTGTTTTCAAGAGAGATACATTTCTACATTCTAATGAACCAAATTACATGCATCCCTTACATAGGGTAGCTACCCCCTAAATTTTTTCAAATAGCAATAAGGGTTGATTTGTATTAAATTTTAAAGACATATTATTCCTCTAAACAGCAGTGCTCGTGTCTTTAAAATTCAATACAAACCAACCCTTATTGCTATTTAGAAAAATTTAGGGGGTAGCTACCCTATGTAAGGGATGCATGTAATTTGGTTCATTAGAATGTAGAAATATATCTCTCTTGAAAACAAAATCGACCTGTCTCAGGAATTTTGCAAGAAACATTCTGCTACAATTCTACTGAATTTATTCCAGTTAAAGGTACCACACTGTATATTATACCAATACATGAACATATTCTTTCAAGTACATTTTCCGTGGACAATGTAACTGGCGACTGGCAAGCCGAGCCGGGCGGCCATCGTGGTGCGCCGCCCAAGTGGACATCTTTCATTGCACGGCAACGGCGAGCCAAGGTCCGACTACACGCTGCTTTTCGGAAACATAAGTACACGTGATATCTCACTACACCCTCCTTCTCTCTTGTGATATTTCATGAATTTTGCTAGACTCTTCCCCCCTCCCTTTCAAGCCTCACGTGATTGATGGACAGCCTCTAATGAACGCGTACTGGAATATAAAGTACTGTAGTTGATTCAAACAGTAGTGTTCATACTATAAAAAATGTATGTTTTGTATCGAATTCCAATGGATATAAATATGTTTTTTCAATTAAACAATAATGACGGAACATCAGAACTTGACAACAACATGGCTATCCATTCTACTAATATAAGGATCAATTATGACAATATTCCTAAAGTAATTCAAATATTTAGTAATTCAAATATTTAGATCGTAAATTGGTTTTTGGTGGTGTATTACGAATTTGAAATAGAAGAATGTCACCAGGAGAAGCATTCGTTTTTAAATTATGTTTTTTATAAGAGAAATGTTGATTATTGAAGTGAAAAGGGTCAAAGAAAGCGGAAAATTCGCCCTTTTCTGAACTTTGAAGGGCCGTAACTTTGTAAATAAGGGAAAGCGCCGCTTTTTTCTTTCTTTTTCTTTCGGATTCGTAATCTACGCATCAAAATACGTAAGTACACTCAAAAATTTTTTCAAAATCGCCGGATGCCCTCAAAACGAAAATTTACCAAAATTTCATTACTACCGATGAAAATTGCACAATTATTATCAGGTATTCATCATCAAGATATTACCGGTAACATTGTATGTCAGAATCATATTTGTAATATGTGCATTCAGTTTAAATATGTAACTGATCAATTCACGAAATTCAATTGGATTAACATATGTTGTACTCTTGAAAGATCTGAAAAAATAGAGATTTCGTGGAAAACGATTAGGTATATTTCTTTGAATTTGAAATTTTCGTACTTTCATCATATCGATCTCATTTCGCAGTGAAATTTCAATGTTTTTTACGCTTGCTTGAGGATATTTTGGATTTTCCTTTATAGAATATGAGTAATTTCCACAACTTTTTTGTGAAATTCTCGAGTACACAGACCAACTTTCACTTCATGAAAACTAGTTATACGCTCCGGGGGATATTGAATCCGTTGTGGGGAACGAGAAGTGCCGAATTTATTGGAACTATTCATTCCCCACCCTCAGGCTCATACAAGCTAATAAGCCTGATGTGGTCCTTCTCGACCACCAGAGCAAAACGATATTTGTCGTGGAGGTTTCAGCTCCTGGCGAGACGAATATCGTCAAAAAAGAGCAGGAAAAACGGATAAAATATCGAGATTTTCTCTTCGAACTCCGCAGATTCATTCATGATATCGACGGCAGATAAGACACCATCGAGCAATTGATTCACAATAGCATTATTATCAGGATTCTCAATATGCGTCAACACTTGACTCTGGACCTGTCATTTTGAAAGTATTTTATGATGAATTGAAATATACCCTATTTCTTCTGAGAATCTTAGAATCTTTTGGAATCTTGAGGATTATAGGACTTTAGTGTTGAGTGTTAACAAAAGATTTTATCAGGGTGCCAGTTTTTTTTACCATGATATCAAAATGTTACATTGGTATTCTCATTTGATAGCTTTTTATTGATGCGACTATTTAGCATTCTTTTCTCCTTCACGAGATTTTTTTAATAAAAATTTTGAAATACAGACAGCATTTTCAGCAAGCCAATTAGAACGGGGACATCATCAAGGACTCCTAAATGGAAGATCTTAGTTCCAGTGTTTGACAAATTTTAAAAACATGTCACTATTTGAGGGGATATTATTAGTGAACAATAATAAGTCAGGAGGACCAAATCTGGCAAATACAGTTTTCATTCTTTCAATGACAATATATGTACTTTTATCTGGAATATTTAGTAATTCCAATTAGTTGAAATAAGCATCAAATAATGTCTTTGAGTATCATGAGTAAAAATGTCAGCACCTACACCTTCCCAGCATCTATTTGGTAGTGGATATCATGAGAGAGTTTCTTTTATGTTTTATAGCAAATTTTTCACGAACGTGACACGATTTGATGAAAGTCTCTGTTATCATTCCAGGCCAAGAATATGTTTCTTGCTCGATTTGGATTCGAAAATTGTTTTCATACATTTTCAAAGCAAAGCTATTAATCATTGAATTTCATAAAAATGTAGTATTTATTCTTACTGAAATAATCTATATCTATTAATATGCACACCTGCTGTGAATCACTTGTGCCAGTCACATCTTCATCAACATTAATTTATTTCCTTTATAACAGTTCAGTTCCCTGTATCGACAATCACGCCTACGGTAGGTACGTTAATATTTTGACAAAACTTCATCGTTACGCCCTGTCACTCTCGAATGGAAACTTTGGTTGTACTTTTCCGTGTCATTTAATGAAAGAAAATATATGAATTTTCTGAACTGACGATTGGAATTTTCTTCATTCTTGTGCAACCCATATTGTCCATAATATAATTTGTAATAATAATTAAAAGATTAGTGATAACTCGACTTATTCTTTTATAGTTTCATTTATTGACAGGTTATTTGAGTTATAAGAAGCTTATAAATATACCTACGTATGGTATTTTCAAACGATTACTGATAACTATGATTACCAAAAACACAAAAGTTTCCTTATTCCAAACAGCACAATATGTGTGCAATACAATTTTCCATACATTAGTTGTTTTAGTATCGGTAGTTATGTTTCACGTCTTCTTCAATAATTTTGAAAAGGATGCGAAGAGATTATGGCACATTTTTCTCAGTTCTTGTGCGGTAAGTTATCAAATGTCAAACTATTTCATGAAAACTCCAGGAATATTCATTTACATTACAAAACATAAAATCAAAGTTATTTTATTTGGAAAATGTCAATGAAACGGCGGTTTATGAAAAGTTATTTATTATGCAAATGACTTCGAAGACANAAACGGCGGTTTATGAAAAGTTATTTATTATGCAAATGACTTCGAAGACAATATGCTTCCAGAAAAGAGGGGCTCTTCTAGTTCGGTGAGGGCATGTGAACTCTTTTGACGCTCTGATTAGGCTTCCAATGACTTTTTTGTTGTCCATTTTTGAAATACTTTTTCAACAATTATCATTATTTTATCCAGTTGCATACTTTCTTAGTTACTTTCATGTTTCAGCAACCTTTTGTTCCTTCACATATTAGCTTTTATTCATTCTATTGCATAAAAAACATATTTTGATTGTCTTTCAGACAAAAAATCCAAAAAATCTGCAGAAGTACTTCTATATTATATTAACATCCTTTGAGTAGTTGAGTGAAACTATTTTTAAAAGAGCAAGATTTTCATACCAAGGCGTATAAAATTAGGAATAAACAACAGTAATCAAGCAACATTTTCTTTACGTAGGAAAAGAATTTTTGCTGCTGTAAATAATTGATAATTATGCAGTGCGGACGTGAAAAATCGGATAAAATTTGTATGAAAAGGAATCATTTTCAGTAAGTTTTGATAAAAAAGCGAATTAGGTGACACCAGTCGCCGCAGAGAGGTGCTACCAACTTTTTTTTTCAAAAAAAGGAGGATCTTGTGATCCTTCGCCCGAGATGTATTTGAGTTTTCTACACAAAGACTTTCTATGTTTTGAATTCGGATAACCGGTTGCGGAGTTTTTGGTGTATGATTTGAAGACTGGGAAAAATTATAATTTGTAACTTTGCAATCAAAAGAGGGTTCAAACATCCCCAAAGTTAGTTATCACAGGTGACACTGAGTTTGTAATATGTATGAGAAAATAACCAATGAATCATATTTAGGAACAAAATTGAACCAAAATATTTGAAAAAAAGCACATTTCTGTTTTAAACCAATTTAGGATTTTTTTGTGTTCGACTATGTAGAAAAGAATCCATACCATGTTACCTCAGTAACAGAGAGTACTGTGTGGGGACACTATCTTATCCCTCCACATTTAGGAATGAAATAAGAAGCTATCGATTAATATTAATTTTCAATTCATCCTTCATAACTCCTTTATTTTCAAACTTTCAGGTCAGTAATTGTCATTGAGGAGTATAGCGAAGCTACGAGGGTTGAATGCTTATCTCTAGAAGTTCCACATTTATCTAGGTACACAGTATCATAACTTCTTTATTCTCAACTTCACAAATGAAAATTCATACATTTGCTGTCTTGTAGTAGTAAATTGGCATCAGAAAGTGTTTTCTGTAGGTATTATTTCCTTCAAACCGATAAAATAACGAGAAACTTCAAGAGTAGGCCACCAAATCGGACGATTGAATGTTTCATTCCAACGATGATTCATGAAATTAACGTCTAGTTGAATCATTCTCACAATTTAAATCGCTGTCACTGTCCTAAACAAATTTATGTAATGGGATCTAATATTCAAATATAATTGTGACAAAATATTAAAATTATGATTATTACATTACCCACACTAGTTTTAGTGAGACAACTCGAATAAATATGTAATCAAATAAAACTCACCAATACAATAAACAAATACAAAAGACTTGAATGAAAAATAAATTGCCACATTTCACTGATTCACATAATACGAAAATAATTCTTCAGTTTGAATGCCATCATTTTATATATGATATACTGAATTCTGAAGATTCTTATTTGTATAATGTAACATTTTCAATGGGAATTCAAACGTTGTGCTGAATTTCAATGACATCGAGAATAGTACTCGACGTATCTCAAGCACTTCGATAACGTTCTCTTCGGTAGAACCTATGCCAATCAGGACCAGGCGAACTATTTGTATGCTGACACAATTAATCAATTTGTGTTTTTTCGGCAAAAGAGCACTGAATCAAATGGCGCTTATTTCGATTGAATTGAATAAGTATTCACTGAAATATTACAGTTTAAACTACACTCATAGAAACGGACAAAACTTTCGAAACAACCTAATAGAATAGCATCATTGAACTATCTGAATCAAACGTACGTACGCAAAATTTCAACTCAATCGGATTAATTTGCAAGATCTGACCCGAAATAACATAGTATGTAACATTTATTGTCAGAAAAATTACGAAATACAAATCAATCAACCTAATTCAGCTTATTAAAAGAGAAAAAGAAAAAAACATTTGAAAATTGCTGTTTTGTTCTCTCCTGTTCATAAAAGAGGACATATGCCTCCTCACTCACAAGCGATTTTGGTGAAATTGGGGACACGTGTGAATCGTTGTATTCATTCCACATGCCACTATTAGGGTGTCTGCAATATGTTGTGTAATGCCCGTTGTAAGTAGTTTCACTGTGATTCGAAAGTACATATAGATTGTAACGACAAGGAACCACATTGTCTGCTGCATAATTGCTCATATCTAATCCTTCTAAAGAAAAGTCAATAATAACATTCAATTTGCCTCTGAATCTTTCCGTTGGAAAGAATTTTTTTAAATGAATTACTAAAATACGGAAAAACTTATTGATTGATAGGGACTTTGTGCATTTTCTTCTTTCCTTGCACCTCAAATATGTTGGTTTTCATCTCCATCCAGGGATTCCTCTTTTGTCAAGAAATGCAAACATTGTGACAAATATAGATACATACAAACATTGCGAATTGAATGTAAAATGTTATGTACCTACCGGGCTTCCCACTAAAAAGAAGGTATTCAACTCAAAAAGTAAAAAGACATTATCCACTTTTTTATTTTTCAGAGATTTATATGCAATATTCACAATGTCCCTAATGTAATTGATGTTGATACTACTAGACTGCAAATATTCATCGACTCGTATTTAGTCTCCGATGCAAACAAAGCTTTTGACCGAAAGAAGTTGCGAAATTTTGACGCTAACAATCTATCATTTTGCAAAAGCGAGCTATTGCATCAATTTCGCAAGTAAATTATTTATGTACCATTTGGAATAATGCTCATCTGAAATATCTAACCACATATCAACCAGACAATAACGGCTGGATATAATACCAGTTCAAATGGTTTGAAGGGGATCAACTACCAAGTTATTGTGATTCGCTCAAAACTCAATCAGGTAAGTTTTTGTTATAACAATTGATTGTAAATAATTTTTCAATATGTCATAATTGTATAAACTTGCAGATTTTTATCAGAAACTGACGAAGAAGGCGATATTGATGACGATGATGCCATCGACTGAAAGAGTAGTGATGAAGAAAATGAAAATATCGACGACAATGATGAAATTTATGAAATCTTTTTTTTTCTATTGAATGATATTAAAATAAAATTTTTTACTTTATATAACATGGCTATGAATGTAATACAGTTATTTTTCGATTGGATATCTTTAAAGATTGTAATCGACTAAGTATTCGCGCTCGCACCTACAGCGGACTTTATAATACATATATGTAATTCTAATTTGTTTAAATAAAGGTTGTGGCAGGGGGTAGCAATAAAACGTGTTGACATTGACAAAAACATTATTTCAGATGGGCATCATTTTGGATTGTGTGCAGTTTTTATTCACTGCAGCGTTGAACGATTCTGAATAGTTCTGAATTGTTTCCACACGTGACTTTTGATATCTGTTGATGTTAATTTCTAGAATATTCAATATAAGAGTTTATAGCAAGATGAAGTTTTCATTATTGTGATTTCTTCAAAATTTTTGAAAAATTTCCTTCAAAACAAAACACTTATTTCTGAAATGAAAAACAAATTGGTGTGACATTAAAAAACTACTTATGAGTTACTAGCAGATTTCTTGAAAGTTATTGTTTTCAGTTCGTACCACTAATGGCGGAGGGAATTGTTTTGATGTATGACTTGAATGTTTGGAGCCTGGAGATTGGCAGAGTGCAGAAAGCTTATCTTCATGGGTTCCTCCTAAGTCTTAGTACTATAGCAATTTCAGTTGGCATTTTATTTGAAACAGTTTCCAAGGCTGAGAATGGGCAAGAACACTTCCAGACATTCCACGCCGTTACAGGTGAGTTTTCCCCTTGAGGCCTGATTAAAAACTAAAATGAAACCAAGAAGTACTTTTCAGTTAAACAGCAAGAGGTTCACTTATGTGTTGTGTTTTTGTGTGATGACTCTTCTTTGGTTTAAATTGAAAGGGGTATACTTTTATGAGGGAATCGTTTTTGGGAAAGAAAGTTTTTGCCTCTCAACTTCTCTATCTTCAAACAAAGATTCACGGCTAGCGAAACGGACCAAATTTTTTTTGCTCTGGCGTGAGAAAAGTATTTTCGGAAGATTTACTCTTGCAAATCGTCTGTAAATTGAACCATCAGTCGAGAAAAGAGAACTTCAACAAGAATTATATTATCGCAACTGTGAAAACCTGATACTTTTACAATTGAATATTCGGAAATGGTAGAGGTCTCAAAGAATGCACGTCCTGTGAAAAGGAATGAAAAATCTTGATGAAAATTAACAGGTTTTCATTAATAGAGAGATGATGAAAATCACCGTTAACTGAGAAATATTGAGTTCACAAACTACACATCTTGAAATCTAGAAGTAGTCGCTTTTTCGATGCGTGTATTGGTTTATTGGATGTTTGAGAAGTGAAGGTGTTGAGTGGGGTTAAGGTAAAAGACCCCATATTTGAAGAAGTTCTATTGCGAGTTCGGATAGGTCCAACGATCATCAAACATCTCTTAATGAGAGCTTAAATTATGGATAGTGCGTCCTTGATGTCTACATTGTGGAACAGAACAAAAAAGTCAATTGAATATTTCTGAAAATTAGGAGTGCATTAGTTTCATTGTATGGGAAAGGAAAATTTTGGCTGTCTACTACTCCATCTTGATACAAAAAAATGTGGGAGGAAATCTTTCAAAGAAAGGAAGGAAGCAATAAATTTTGAAAAAAGTAATTCCATACAAAGAAGTGTAGATCATGCAATGAAGTAACTTTCAGACACAAACTGAAAGAAAAAGCCCTCCTGATACAGTTACTTTCAAGTAAATTCTGAATTACACGAAAGAAAAATTATTTCGAAACAAATAATTACTCTTATTTGTATTCCTCACTGGTATACATCGATGTTTCGTCGTGAGACTTGCCTTAGGGCTCTTCAGTATCACTCTGGATAACATTATGAGAAAAACACACAATTCTTTCATAAATTATGGCTTTATACCACGAAATGAGTTGAATCTACCCATGTCGTCGATGACATCGTAATGACAAATAAGCGAATTTATTTGATTAAAACCCAGCCAAAGGAATTTTGTGTAAAAATATAACCTTTTCAATTTCATTATATTCGTGAATCAGAATAACGATAAAGAAAATAACCAAGTTTCTACAGAATCTGAAAACATTATGGTGGTTAGGCTGAGAGGAAAATATGTAGATTCAAATACAGGAATAAGTCAAGCTGACTAATACCGACGGCGACGACAGAAGATGATAATCGTCCTATTCCTCGTGAATAAGGATAACTCAATAATTCTCAGAGATGGAAACAAACCTTACACTGAAGACAAACAAGTTCAGGGAGTCTAGGTTGAAAAAAAAGGAAAATTGGACCTGTAAATCATGAAGACGATGCTGAAGAAATCCGATGATGTCTTGATAATTGATATATATTTCTCAATTAAATCTGGCTTGGCATCGAATCATAAAATGAAAACTCTTGATGCCTAAGCAATTAGACGAACGTCAAGAAAACTTCCCGTCACCAAACAGAAAGGAGTAAGCGATACGGTTCAACAAGGAGGTGTCCCTGACAGATCTACAAGTTTATAACCGTCTCCAACAGTATTAGTGAAAAGAAATGGTGGAATAATCCATTTCTACTAAAATTTTAGGTATCTGAATTACGCCTGAACTTCCTTAAGTCTATGTTTTTCAGTTTATTTGATAGTTATTCAACATATATTTGACTCTCTCATAGAACATGAATATCCTATTAGATCGGAAGATTTACGAATGAGACACAGGATTAGATTAGTTATGTCGGACCAAATTTCTTTGAGGTTAAGTTGATTATTATCAGAATAAGTGAGAAACTTGAATTCCGATATAGGTGAATCCCCAAATTAAAATCAAATCGGTTTTGTTGGAGCACTGTTATTATACCTAGTTCACCTCGAACTTCAATTGTTTAAGAACGCTTTCATTTGGATAACTGCGTTAATTTGGAATAAACTTCCTGAAAACGATTTTCCAAATGAATATTATCTCCAGCGATTCAAATCCAATGTAAATCGATACTTTCACACAGGCACCGCTCTTAGAGCACCTTGAGGATTTTTCTGACCTAACAAATAAAATACATTCAAGAATGAAGATGGAGGGGCTGTCAATATTTTTTTGTCTATAAAAACGGGACGACAGCTATCCCGGAAATCCATATTAAAAAACCAAACAGGATTTCAGGTGTTATGGCATAATATGCTCTATTTAACTTATCACATATTTAGTCCACCTGCCTATCCCAATTTAGATTGGCGTCTAGGTAGGTCCCTAAAAATTTTATTTTTTCAATAATAATATTGAAGGTAGTCAATTTGTTTGGAATGCTTAGTATATTTAAATGCCGTTCATTGAAGTTAGAATAAAAAGGTGAAGTTTTTTTTTCACATTGATTGTTTTCATATGATAATTTTTGAATGGAATTGGCAATTTTAATTTTGATTGTAATTGAATTGTTCTATATATCCTTTAGTAACATTGGAAGACTTCTAGTCACCAAGTCGCTTCAAATTTGGTTCTATCTACCATAATCAGCAAATAATGTCGTTGAAGTTCGACGAAGGCCATGGAATGTGTAATTTTCAGGTTTGGGTAAAATTAAAATTCTGCGATTTGAAATCTAAGGTTGCCGAAACGATGGATACCAGCAGACTGAATCGACCATTTTCGTTTTTTGTCATTCACGAATGACAGTATCGGATGGAATATAGGATGGCCGTAAATATAAATATTGCCTGTTATGTACAACAGCAAGTTTTCTTGCAAAATTACAAGTGATGTTCTCTCAATATGTCTTGTGGTTTCTGGTATTTTCACAAGCAACATGTATTACTTGTTGTCTATTAGATTGATAATTGACACTTTTGTTAGTTCTTCTCGTCTACACTCACCGGCTATCCCAATAGTTGTTGCTATCTTGAAATAAAGCAAATGAAGTTGATATTTTCATATCTTATTTTGTTAAAATTACCGATGAAATTTCATTATCTGCTTCCCTAATGAATTTATTGATCTGCTAGCTGTTGAAGACTTCTGATTTCTTTACTCTATAACCAACATTCTTTTCTTGAAGAAATTCGATAACGTCAAGGAAAGTGGCTAAGTTTAGATTTTTCTTCACTAAAATGGTAGTAAGGGTACATGGCTGTTTCTGGCGCATTTCAAGGTCGCGTGTTAGCGATTAGAATTGGTAACGGTTTTAGAGGCGTTAGTGGGTGGAAAAGAGACATGTGCGACGCAATTGATGCAGAGAAGGATAAAATGAGTATCGGAGAGATTATCTTCCAAATAAGAGAGTGGTTGAATGATGAATGTGGATGAAAATATTGGGAGCACAAAAGTGATATAATGATAGTGATGAATGAAAAATCAGAATAAAGAAAAAACATGGTGGTAATGTGACGGGCATTAATTGGGGTCTCAATTCATCATTTAAGAAAAAAACATGATGCCCATGTGTACAAGGTGTGGCAGAATATATTATTCAAGAAAAAAAAACATGATAGTTTAACGTTTCAACGTGCGATCCCTTAATGTGTACAGGTTGTCTCAAAATACATCATTTGAGAAAAAAACATATTGTCAATGTGTGTACGGTTCAACGGGAGTGTAGCGTTTCAACGTGCGATTCCAATGGAAAAGTTGTGTGGTTAACGTTCGAAGGTGAAGCAATGGGGGAGCGCAGTATTTAGCAATTACATTTCAAAATACGTTGTTTCACATGTCTTTCGACCGTTTTGCGTGCAATTATTCATTATTATCCCGTCGTTACATTGCCGCCATGTTTTATTCTTCAATCTGATTTTCCATTCACCATTATTATTATTATATAACTTTTGCGCTTTCAAAATTTTCAGCTACATTGATTATTTTTATAATTCAACCATGCTCTTTTAATCTCTTCGATACTCCGTCCGTCCTTCTTTGTCTTCATTCATCACTCTGAATCGTCGATGACAGCCGACAAAACAACCGCCATAAATATCAACAATTCCCAATCATTTCCAACATCTCACGTTGGTGTCGAGGCTATCTGGATAACCTCACAAGATGTAACACTCCTTTCATTCATGAGACTTTGTCGCGAATAAGTTGAATCTACTCATGTTATCGATGACAGTACGTAAA